GAGCAGCACAAGGAGTCCAAAAGAGTGTAGGGTAAGCATCAGTGAGCCTTTTCCCAGCAATAATATATCGCTCCTCGCTACTAGTTACTACTTGCAACACATTTCTCACACCAACTTCCTCCACTACCTCCTTAAGCAACTCATAAAGAGAATCCGGAGAATTTATTATGCTAGATACATCCACAGACCTTAAAAACATTGTTCCTTCGGGGCAGTAGACCAAAAAGTTTACTAGTGTTCTACCCTTACCTGTAATCCACTCATCAACCAAAACAGAGCAACCACTCCTTGCCCAGGTGCTTGAACATTGATCAAAGTCGTTCCTCACTTCTTGAACTGAAGCTTTTAGAACCCAGCTTCTAAGGTCATGGTAAGAAGGGCCTGTAACTTCTGCTCCTTGTGAAGCGATCGCATCAATCATCGGTTGGAAATAAACAGAATTTACAGCATCAAGAGGCACCCTGGCATCTAAAAGGAATCTGGCTACTGCCATGTGGACATGATTATTCACTCTTTTCGACATTGCAGCCTGGTTCATTGCAAGAACCATGGCGTTATTATTTGAAGAAGAGGCTTTCCTGATCCTACCTTTTTTCTTCCTACCACCCAATTTATTACATCCGTGGTCTCGATTCAAAAACAAATTAGAGGTTTGTTCAAGAGCTTCAACTGGCATTGGAAGCAAGTCGACTTCAGAATTCAGGCCACAACTATTAGTCAATGCAGCAATCTCACTAGTGCCAACATTATAAGTTGATATTTCCTCAGCAAGCTTTTGTTTTTTTCTCTTCTTCATTACAACCCCATTTAAGCTCTCTTGCATCAAAAGGCGAACATCAGGCTGAACTCTCAAACAAGTAGATGCATTACCTTTCTGACCCGCAAGATGTTCTTTAATCCTATGAATTCCACCACCCTTAAATATTTTTCCACAATATATACACTTTAGCTGCACCCTAGCCCCATTCTTATACATTTGACAATGCTTCCATGCGGGGTCATGTTTTTGTGAAGTAACTGGCACTGGTTCCAAATTAGAATCCATTTTACATTTACAAATTCTTTAATCACTCTTTTAACTTCAATCTATATCAGAGTCTAAAACAATATTAAAATCCCATGTATATTTATAAGGATAAAATGAATAATCTCAAGGCGTAAAATAGAAAACTTACTTGTAAATTCTTTTTCCGCTTTTTTGATAAGAGAAAGATGGGAGAAACCGAGTTAGGGATTGCGGATTGGTTTTTTTCCTTTTACTTTATACAGAGAGAGAAAGTCGAAGGATGACCGGTTGGGATTGTAAGTCGGGAATTTTGAAGTTCGGGTTGACCCGACCATTTGCTTCTATAATTTAAGGGTCAAAATATGGACTGGACCGGTTTGGTGAATAAGAGAACCGGATATTTCAGTAGCCCGTTGCTGGAAAGCCGGATACGATTCCGGGGTCAATTAGGCTGGCAGGTGAACGTCAGTTTCGTCTTCTAAAACCGGATTTTGACATTTGCAATGGGCCGAAACCTCCAGATCCGGTCCGTGATCCATTCCTTGTTTTTTTTTCTTCCTTGATCCGGCCATGCCCCCTTGTCTATTATGCATACTTCCACGAGTTTCGTCTGGCAGGTGAACGTCAGTAGCCCGTTGCTGGATTTTGACATTTGCAATGGCCGAAACCTCCAGATCCGGTCCGTGATCCATTCCTTGTTTTTTTTTCTTCCTTGAACCGGCCATGCCCCCTTGTCTATTATGCATACTTCCACGAGAATAGGCAAAGAAAAAAATACTATTCCAACAGAAAAAAGAAACCTAATGACTCCATGTCTTAAATTTTTTCTTTGTATAGAATTCTGCTTCTCGAACTTTTTTCTTCTTTTTCATAGCCACGACCCGGATACATTTGTGTCTTGCAACTCCCACGATTTCTTTCTCACAGAAGTGAGTTCAAGACTGACATGAAAATTTAGTTCTTGAAAAATTATGTAGCATTGATGAGACCCAATCTTGAAGAAACTTCGCCGATCATGACTCGGAAGGATGCAGGGGATCAAATTGAGCATTCGTTCGGGGACACTCTTGGAGTTTATATGGAAGGATTTTCTTTTCTTTGTGGTTCGGTTAGCATTATCTACTTGGTTCATAACTTGTGGTTTGTTGAGTCGGTTTTCTCCACTGTTTTGGCCTAGAAGAGGCTCATGAAATTTCAATTCTTGCAAGTTTGAATCTTGCAAGAATGGAGTAGTTTGAATCTCCACGGTTTTACTCTTTGTCCCAGTTTCCCTCACTGTACCGGGAGTTTGATAGTGTTTTTTTTAGTTGTGCTAGCGATTTATATTATGTTTTACATTTTTGCATAATATTTGTGTTACTGTTTTTTTATTTATTTGTTGTCTTTCATATTGTTGTTATTATTTTTCGGATTTTGTTGTCACAAATCTATTATTTCTGAGTCGAGGGTCTTCCGAAAACAGTCTCTCTATCTCCTTCAGGACTGGGGTAAGGTCTGCATACATTTTAATATTCTCAGGCCTCACTGGTGAAATTTTAGTAAGTTGTTATTGTTGCTGCAAGTTTGAATCTTGGATAGTTCTGCTGGGGAAAAAAATAATGCTCTCCTTAATTCTGAATTTTGTGGAGTTTATGATTTCAAGATGGATGGATACCATTTCTGTACTTCCTCAAAATGGCCCTTTTAAGTAAAATTGTCATTTTTTTCCTTGAAAATAAATAGTCACTCTGTTTCAATTTAGATGACACGTTTTCTTTATTAGTCTGTTTCAAAAATAATGACACATTTTTATAATTTGAAATAATTCAACTTTAAATTCTTCATTTTACCCTTAATAAGAAGCTTTTATAACCACACAATATCAAGACTCAACAAAACTTTTATCCCTTAAGCTTTTAAGACCACAAGTTTTAAAAGATTTCTTTTTTTTTCTTAAATTCTATAGTCAAACTACCTCATCTAAATTGAAACGGAAAAAGTATTATCATTGTGCTTAGTAAAAACGGAAACACTATTCTTGAAAATCTGAATGATCATTTTGTCCTCGAGCAAACAATATTAATTCTTCACAAACAACCAGTTTTTTAATGGTAATTAGAGGCTTTATTTACCTCGAAAAATTATGTTGTTCTTTTCCTGTCAAATATAGTATACACAACAAGCCAATAAAAGTCTATAAATTTGAGCCTTGACATTCTTTGCATTAGCAAACTTTACTGCCCAGTGTCATCACAAAGCAGACAAGCCTGATTGCTAACCACTTCCCATTTTGCTAGCCTATCTCTTGTATACAATCTACTATGAACATTCATTTAGGACATCCAAAGTTATTACACATCACGTGGAACCGATGGCAATTATCCCGTTTGGCACTGTGGGAAATGAAACTCATAAAGACACAATAAATACCTTCCGCCCGATGGTATTAATGAAGAATATTCCATGACTTTAAGTACACTAACTGTTACAAGGGATTTGTCATTTATGCTCACTGTTACATCTGCATCAATAACTCTCATAATTGACATTAAAGAAGAGCACAATTTTAGGACCTTGTTCCCTAGACATAGTTATACTTAGTAAGCTTTGTTATCATTGTAAGGACACGAATTTTCTGATAAACTAACACTACAATCTATTCAAAGCTTCATACAATTTTATCTTCTTATTTTCTATTCTTATTATTGTTATGTCCGGAGGCTTCGCTAGCGGAATCTTTATTTATGTCATTTCGTCTTCATATCAAGGCTAAGTGTTATATATTTCTTCAATTATCTTATTATTTCAGGATCGAATTAATTCACTTGTCCAGAAACCACGTATAAATTCAATTGTACTGTTTTACGGGTAAACAATTTTGCGCCCACCGTGAAGCCTAGACATCTGTATAGTTAAGTTGATCCTTGCCTTTTTCACTAACGTGTTTTGATTATTTTGTCTTAGAAAAAATCATAAGAAATAGCAGATAACGGTGTTAACAACACACACAATCCCGACGTTCGAGGAGAACAACCTCATTTCGAGGATTTAATCAGTGACACCCACAATGGGGGGAACGATGCCACGCCGGTACACGACAGCGATATCATTGACATGTTCGGGAGGCAACTCACGATGACGCCAGAAGAGGAGCATGTTGTTGATGCAGTAAGGGCCCTACAAAAAGCAACAAGCGATTATTCTGGGGCACCTCATGCGGCAGGATAAGGTTATGATGGAGTTAAAGCAGGCGTTATCCGGGGCTTCCAATAATGCAATAGGCAAGATCCAGTTCTTCCCGGTGCTCCCACAAATCAAGTAACGCAGAGAGTTGATAACAACACCTCGAGGAGGGAGATTGGTTCCGATGGAGCTAGGGAAAGCAGATTCGGACCCGATAGCAAAAATGACCCCTTCAAAAATGAACTTTTACGATTTATAAGAGAAGTAAATGCCCACATGGACCAAATCCCGGGCGCACCACCAGAACTAGAAGAACCAGGAGCATCAGGCTCTCCGAGGGACCCGTCGGGATTCCATTTTTAGCAGCCAACTCAAGTTCATGGGTCTTAGCAATTTCAGCATCAAAATCAATAATACCAGCTTTAGCCTCCTACAAAGTTTTTCTCCTCATGATGTGCATGGCGTAAGTTTTCTCAACAATGAGGGAAGCCGCTCGGAGCTTAAGTTCTTCTTTGAGTTGAGTCCTCGACAAAAATATTTTCCCGGGCGGATCTAATAGACTTAAGGCTAATGTCAAGATCGCGAACAGTAGAGTTGAAAATTATATTGTGCTCAAGGGTTTTCTTATACTTCTCCTCCAACCGGGCATATTTCGCCCCCGCAGCAGCAAGCTCTTCAGTTTTGGAATTCAAGGTTGCCTCTAAGTTGGTCAATTTTTTAGCAGAGGCAACCTCACATTCGGATGCAGCAAGAACGGCATTATGGACGTCAGCCCATTTAGCTTTAGCCTCTTCAAATTAAACCCTCAACGGGGCGATCTCTTAGCTAAGGATTTTCACCTCTTGCTCACTTTGCTGCAAATGAGCCTCCAATATAACGGCCTCAGTGGATTTGGCTTCCAGTTCTGAGAGGCTAGCGACACTTTGCTCCTGCTTCTGCCAAAAGCTGATCTCGTGCGGAGGTAATTTCTTCCTTCTCACGAATCAACCTCTGAAGACCCTCAGAAGCAAGAACGTTGGCCTACAAAGCAAGAAAGGCAAAACTCAGGATATGTTTATGCAAAAATAGAAGAAATAATAAAGGAAGAATGCACAGCTCCGGCATTGTGCATGCGCATTTCAACAAGCACTCTTCCGAGAGAGCCTGAATCTTTTCCCAATATTTTTTTGAAGCCTTTGACAAGTTCCACCGGTAGAAATGACAAGTTGCATCCGGTGGAGACCGAAAGAGTAACATTCCTCCTCCCTTGTGGATCTTCAGAGGGGCAGCATAATTTTGCCCCAAATTCCCGTGAACTGGGGACTGGGGAAGAGGAACACCTTCTTCTTGGTCAGGTGCGACCGGTGGAGATGATGTAGCAGTTGCTGATGGAAGAGCTGGGGAAGAAGGAGATGAAGCTGACGGCAATGAAGGATGAGAAGTAGCCACGACAAACGTAGTTCTGGTGTTTGGATGCTCGCCAACCAAAGACAGCATGGACTCGGTACTCAGCCCTGCAGTACTGGGCACATCAATTGGGGCTCAGAAATGGGAGTTGGCATTTTTTACCAAATCAAACTCCCCATAAAGTGCCGAGACATTGTCCTCGGTTGGTGTAACTAACTCAACAGATTGAGCATTTTGTTGAGTTGATGAGGATCACCGTCTTCTGTGTAGAGAAACTCCATCATCTTCAATCATCATGGTGTCTATGACCGGCCTAGGAGGAGGGTTAGTCATCACAACTTGCGGAGACGACTAGGGGGCAATAGTCTTTGCCCTTTTATTTTTTTCCATGGCCACGGAAGAACGCCTTCTTTTTGGTTACTTGTTCTGCGGCCGAGGACTCTGTAGTGAAACACTTATATCCGAAGCAGGCCCGAAGACACCTATTCGAGTGAGCGCCTCCTGAAGCAGACTTTCCGCATCAATAGGGTCAGCCAAAACATCCTCCTCGAGGACCTCGACTGAACCCGCGGGTAGACTTGATTTCAAAGAAAATATATAAGGGATTAATTAATTTCCTCACATAAAAAGCTTAAACAAGGTAAGTTGGAGTTACCATGATTTTTGGCCTTCCACCCGTATTTGAGGGACAGTTTTTTCCACGTGCGGGTTTCGGGCGTAGTGACGTCCAAGATTTTATGGACCCACTAGTCCAAGCCTTCAACCATAGGTGGAACCCATCGAGTTGTTGAAACGAGCGAAGGATGAAGGATCAATACGAATATGGAAGAATCCCTAATAAAAAGAATATGATGTATTAAATAAGAATCTTACGAGTGCGGTTCCACATTTTTGAAAAGGATGAAGCCGCTGCTGCAATGATGTCGTTGGTGGAAACTTCAACAAATCATTCCATCCACCCACGGTCGTTGTCATCATCCATGCTAGATAATAGGGCATGGTGGCCACGTTTGCTGAAATTTGTCATTTTCCCGCGGAAGATTTTAGAGGAATAGAGATTCATCACATAAGCTAAAGATAGATCCTTTCCCATCTCTTGGCACAAGCGATGAAGACAAGAAATCGTCCTCCACACAGTAGGACTTAATTGTGCCAAACACGCATGGTAGGGGAAGTAGAACTCCACAATAATGGAGTCAAGCTCTCTACTCAAGAGAACACACTTAAAGTGAAATGATACGTGTAAAAATATGTAAAACCCTCCCAAAGGTAACTCGCTCTACTAGATCAGGAGCAACAATTTCCAAATTATGGCAGCACCAGTCTTCTTTCACAACAGGAATACTAGTAGGACAAATGGAAGAAGGGTACCTGCCAACAGCCCACGTGCGAGGGAGAGCCGAAGGGACTTTCTCTTTGAAGTCTTTTGTTGTAACGAGACTTATAGGAATGATAGAATCGACCATTGGATGAGCAGGGTCTTCAACTTTACTTTTGCCCTTTGAAGAGATAACGTTTTGAAAAAGAAGCCATTCGGATGAAAGAAAAGCTTTTCTATTTTGAAAGGAGTTGCAGAAAGGCTAATTAACAGCAAGGAAAATTTTAAAAAGTTTGGAAAGTTATGGAGTATAAGGGGATAAGGTTGATGCATATAAGTAAAAGTTTTGGCGGCTGAATTCATGGCCATAATTACCTCGATAACCGGCAAAAGCTATGATGAATCGTAGGATGACGTGTGTTCAGGGTATTAAATACGGAGAGATGTGCGTCTAATCAACCGTTAGAAGTCGTCAGAAGGAATCATAGTAATTCCCTCCAAAAGAGTGTTTCTA